TTTTTTAACATTTTCTAATGGTGGTGTGCCTCGTGATTTTTTTCATGAAAAAAGTGTGCCTTTGCACAAAAAAGGTTGAAAAACACTGCATTATACTATGCAAAAGAGTCCTTTATTTTGCTTAAAGACACTCTTCCCTTTGTCTGGCATTTAAATCTTAGAATCCTGGGGTTGAAAGGGACCTAAAGGTCTTCTAGTCCAACCTCCTCTCTGAAGGGAATTTTAAAGCCACGATCCTTTAAAAAGGGGAGGGCTATCAGAGAAATAGATACCTGGAGAGCAATTCATTCTTGCTGTAGTGAAATGCATTGCTGTTAATGTTAAGCTGTAAAGATTTTCAATTTAAATCTATATATGTAAATTAACATCTGTTTTTTTTTACATAGATATGACCTTTGTGGTTCTCATTTTGGAAACAGATTTCTTCTCTGTTTATAAGGCTATTTTAATGCCTTATAGAAGGTTTTTTTTTCTTCTTTTAACAGCAACTTTGTATAATATATTAGATACAAGTTTGAAATTCAGATGGCAACCCTTTGGCTGACCTTGTTGATCTCAGAGGTTAAGGAAGGTTGGCCCTGAATGGGGAGCCACTGAAATTCCAGGGTCTTGACCAGGTTTGGAAGTTAGAAAAAAAATTTCCCTAGAACAGACTGACAAACTAATCTGTAGTTTTCATTTTTTTAAAAAAACCTGCCAAAAACCTGCCAGGAATCACCCAAAGTTTCATTCAAGAAATCTTTATTTTGAAGTCTGACTCATGTTCAAAAATAGTTTACCCCCAGCGGGGGGGGGGGGGACCCTATTTAATAAACATAGTAACACATAAGTCCTAGATTACCTTTCTTTTCAAACAAAGTGCCCACAGCTGTGATCAAAGAGACAGCCTTTGTGTCCACCTCAAAATTCCCTTTCTGAAATGAAGGGATTGCATAACTCAACCGACAGCCACCACCGAGCCAGTTCCAGAGCAGGGACTCCGTGGCTGTTTCTCTCTCTCTGACATTCCATCTTTCCTGAACGAGAGACACGGGAAAAGGGAAGGCAGAGAGTTGCTGTTGCTTCTTTTCAAAAGAGCTAAATTTAGCAATGGCCAAACACTTCCAGAAGGCAACTGGCTTGGGGTTTTGATGAGCAGAAAGGCAGAAGGAGGCGGGGGAGGAGGGAGAAGAGGGGGGAGATGGAGAGGAGGGGGCAAGTGAGAGGAGGAGGAAGGAGACGAGGAAGGAGGAGAGGAAGGAGTGAGAGAGTGTGAGGTGGGGTGAGGGAGGAGGGGGCAGGGAAGGAGTGGAGGGAGAAGAGGGGGGAGATGGAGGGCGGGGGGAGAGGGAGAGAGAGAGAGGGAGGGAGAGAGAGAATGAGAGAGAGAACAGCAACAGACAAGGTACAGTCTAGGTTAGTTTAGCTCCAAAGATGTCGGCACCTGATTCTCTTCCAGAAGGATTTACTGAGTTCGAAATGATGAGTTTTGGCACCATGATGCTGACGGAAGGTAAGGTGTGGTGGTTATGTAACACGGACCCAGCTGAATCCAGGTCTTCTTCCTGAAATTACATTGCTAAGCAACAAAAAAAAAGTTTTAGGAGCCTGACAGTTGGATTTCACAGAATTTATAAGAACTTCATCTAAGCAATGCAGCCTAGATTATTTATTCGTGGGGGGAACTTGTTCATTGACAGAAAATGTATATTTTCCATACTGCCTTGCATATTTAGTCTATATAAGCTATACAAGTTACTTTTCTGAATAAACAAAGCTGCAGCATTTTATATCTTTGTTTGGGTTTGTGCTGATCAACCCGCTGTCAGAGTCTGAGACAAAAATTACAAATCACAATAAAATGATTCTTTTATATATATATATTTATATATTTTAGCTTTGTTTGGATTCTCTCTGAATGTGCTGACCATCATTGCTTTCTGGAAGATCAAAGAGATTCAAACCCCTGGCAACTTTCTGATACTCAACCTGGCCTTGTCTGATTGTGGCATTTGCATCAACGCTTTCATCGCTGCCTTCTCCAGCTTCTTAAGGTAGGCTTCACTTATTTGGAGAGATGGCTATTTTGTCCTTCTGCTTAAAAATAGCACTGAAAAAACTGCAGAGAGCCGCGTGCCCTCTGAGCATAGCCTGCCTCCACACATTAATGCTCACTCAGAGAAGCAGAAAATCATTGTCAGTCCCTAACTTCTCATTGGGGGCACTTTTCATGCAAATGTAAATCTTTGGCCATTCTAATTTGAAGATACATCGCTCCTCTCTGGGGAAGAAGGGCGGGAGAGAGGGAGACCATGCTATTCTATATAGCAATTATATTGCCAGGCAGAATCGACCAGGAGAAATGGGCTTGGTTGGTCTTAAAAAGGCTAAGCAGGTCAGAACCGGTTAGTGCATGGGAGACCACCCGGAAATCTTAGAATGGTGAAGTGGAAATCCAAATTATACCAAAAGAAGGCAAAAAATGTTGAACTGTGAAGAAAAAATAGATGCAGGCATATTGACAGAAATGGAGAATGCCTCAAGAGAGTCATGTTCTACCCAACACCAAAATCACATGAACCTTTATAAAACCTCTTTATAAAGCCTTAGGAAGACCATACCTGCAATACTGCATCCCATTTTGGTCACCCCATTACAAAAAAGATATTGAGACTTTGGGAAAAGTGCAAAGAAGAGCGACTAAGATGGTTAAAAGCCTGGAGATTAAAACATATGAAGAACAGTTGCAGGAACTGGATATAGCCAGTCCAGAGAAAGGAAGGACTATGTGAGACATGATAGCAATATTCCAGTATTTGAGGGGCTGCCATAAAGGGGGGCCCACCTATTCTCCAAAGCACCAGAAGGCAGGACAAGAAGCAACGGATGGAAACTAACCAAGGAGAGAAGCAATCTGGAATTAAGGAGAAACTTCCTAACAGTGAGGACAATTAACCAGTGGAACAGCTTGCCTTCAGAAATTGTGGGTCTCCATCACTGGAGGTTTTTAAGAAGAGGTTGGACAGCCACTTGTGTGAAATGGCGTAGGGTCTCCTGCTTGAGCAGGGGGTTGGACTGGGAGACCTCCAAGATCCTTTCCAGCTCTATTCTGATTGATCTCCTTCAATAGCACATTCAGACATTCAAAAGTGGCTCAAGGAAAGCAAACAAAACCACCAGGAAGAGGCATTTGCAAAGGAAAAGCTGGAGGTAGCCCAAAGAATTCAGGAGCCTTTCTTGTGAGGCGGTTTTAAATGTCTCAGGTGGCATCTCAGAACCTTCCAACAAAGCAGCTTTGACTTTGTTTCTTGGTCATGTTTGGAACATGCCTCCTCACTCTCAAAACCAGAGGAAACATGACACATTTTCACATTGTCTTGTATAATTCATGACTCCCTTTAGTAGTGCAAGCTGTGAATTTTGGATGCTATCATCTGGAAATCATCCGATACGGCCAGAAAGAATCTTTGGAGTGTCCTTTTTGCTAACATTTAAGGAAAAAAATGCTCAGGTCCTCCTCTGACATGTTTTCCCCCTGTGTGTCATTGCTTCCCTTTCAGATATTGGCCCTACGGCTCTGACGGCTGCCAAATTCATGGCTTTCAAGGATTTTTAACGGCCCTAACAAGCATTAATTGTGCAGTTGCAATTGCGTGGGACCGATATCATCAATATTGCTCCAGTAAGTCCTCTGGCTGGTTGTTGTTTTTTATTCTATTAATTGCATAATTTAGGGATAGCAGAAAATGAGAATTGTGCCCAAAAGCAACCTGTGTATTAAATGATCTAGAAGGATGACCAAACAGTTTTAAAAATAAGACTTCTCAGACTTTAACGAGGCAATCTTGAAAAGAAACTTTAGGAATGTATTTCCAAACCTTGGCCCCTTTAAGATATGTGGAATTCTCTCAGAACTCTGCTGGCTAGGGAATTCTGGGAGTTGAAGTCCACACATCTTAAAGTTGTCATGGCTGAGGAACAGTGCTTTAGCATGTAGAAATCAAAATTATTTACTGTATCATTGCTTTGTTATGCCCTTCAGGTTGCAGCCATTATTATTATTATTATTATTATACAATTGTATCACAGCGGCCAGTTGTTTCGCCGGATTTGGCATTGGTTACTAGTCGGGCCCCCCCCAGGGGC